TAACTTGTCCTCTCTGTGTTGGCAACAGATTTTCTACCAATGGAAAAATACTAATTTGGGATCCAGCTTGGTCAATAAAAAAACTCGACAGGCTTTTTCTTCTTCTTCTTTTACTTCTCATCTTGACATAGTAACCCATTAAGTTACCGTGTCATGATGAAAATTTGGATTTCGCAGAGAACAGTACAACCATTCAAACCAGTTAAATTGCAGATGTTTGATAACTCCAACCATCTTCTTTTCATTTAACTCAGTGATTTCCATACAGCTACGTCATCGTTTCCTGTGCAGTCCGCTTTTCCTTTTTTCCCTTCTCTCTCTCTGCATGCAGTTCTACCGAGAAGACTATTTTCCCCAGTAAAAAAAAAAAAAAATAGCAGTTTTCAAGCTGCACACATACACACACACACAGAGAGAGCGACACGGGCTCTGTGCAAGAATGGATCAGTGACCTAACTGAGCGCCAAGAAAGAAAGTCAGGTAGGCTTTGTTTCTTTGTTTTACCTCCTTAAATGTTCTTTGTATAGAAATCTAACCAAACTTTCCTTTTTTTAAAAGTAAGCTGTAGTTTTTGCAGCAGATTTAGAGAGTTTCTGTGAAGAAAAACAGCTGAACGGAACGATACCTTAGTCATTTTTGATATAATTAAGGTGTGTGACTCAAAAAAAAGTTCGCAGATAGTGACTTAGATCGATGTCAGATGATAACTTCAGTGTTTAATGTTTATGTGGGAAAGTAGCTCTTCTCAGTTTTACTGTTGCACTTGCATCGACGAGCCTACAGGGGTCGCCTCAGACTTTGAATTTGATCCAGTGCAGAATCGATGGCTTTTACATCCATCTGTGTTTATTTTATTTCATGCCCCAACAAGCTCCTGTACAATTTTTTAAATGACTTTCCCAGGCATTTGTCTAACCTGTCCCTACTAATACACAAACGCACACGCAGACAGTCATGTTTCCATATCTCCACAATACATTACACTGACTTACATTCATTTTGCTGATGTTACCTCAAGCCAAGTCTCCTTAAAATGCACTGATTTTGTTATTTAGAGTCTATTTTTGTACCCACAAGAAAGCCAGATCCTCGGAATGAGATGGTTATGCCAACATAAATATTATATGTATATACATATGTGCATACTCAGTATATGAAATGTTACCCCGTATCGCTGCATTCAAGGTTTCTGATTCAGTTCGGACTGATGTTGTGGCTGCTGTGTGGTCAGAAGCTGAAATGCCATGAGATAAAGGAATGTCCTTGTACTAAACTGTTCTGCTTGCTGCTCCGCCAGCACATCATGTTGTGAAAGCTGCAGCTATTCAGAGCATTTTTAGAAACAATAACATCTTATTGTTACTTTGACTGAGAGAACAAGAAAAGTTTTGTGCTTCGGTTAAACATTCCCCCCTCGATAATCAAAGAGTGATCATGGTTACTCATAGACTGCAATCCCCCTTTTCCCCTTGAAGCAGGGATGTGAAACTCATTTTACATGCATCCCATTTTGATCTTGTGCTGAGACCTTTACACCGACACCAGGTGTTTAACCAAGCATTTAATCCCTGTGATATCTTGATATAAGATAAAGAAGTGCAGTTTCAACAACACTTGTTTTTCTACATGATCAATGTGTAAAATTAAGACAATTATTAAGACGCTGCCCAGATTGTCCTGTAGTTTTTGTTGATTGATGAATTTTGTTTTCAACTGAAATTTCTATAGTAGACAGTAAACAGCAACTTTTCTGTCATTTAATTGTTTAAATGTGTCTTAAATACTTAATAAAGGGTGAATGGTTGTGGGGGAGGTCTTTATCAGCAATAAAACCTTTAAAAATACAGTTAAAATAAAAAATACTTATGCCCTCTTTCATATTTTCCAAAACCGCTCAGTGGGCCGGATTACAGTTTTTCCTGGGCCAATTCTTGCCCCCAAACCTCATGTTTGACACCCCTTTCTTAAAGGGTTTCTGTAACACAGAACCAGCTGATAACTGTTATTTACTGTAACCCTCAAGGTGGTTGATACTACCATTGCTTTTCTAAGGTGAAGGATGGACTGATCCTAACAGCCACAGTACCATTTGGCCTTTTGTGCATTCAAACATGTGCGAATGCAAAGAAAAGTAAGTGGGAGTCTCTTGAGAGTGATGTCAGATACAGTTAAAAGAGACACTTCCAGCACATTTCTTCACTTCGAAAGAAATGAAGAGGCTGTGTCAACTCGACAAGTTGCATCTTTTCCCTCTGTGCTGACAGGCTGCATCTCAGGGTGTTGAAAATACACGTCAACTTAATCGGGAAGTTAAAGAGCTGCCTTGGGTCCTTTTCTGAAACTCAATATGGTGTTTATTACACTATTTAGGGGATAATTGTGCTGTGACTTTGACTTCTTGTCCTCTCTTCTCATTGAAACTTCAGGAAGGAAAAAGAAAGGCTTAGTAATGATTTTCTTTCTGGCGTGTGAGTGGCCAAAGTCTCACAGAGATGAGGTGTAATCGTATCTGTTGTTCATGTTGGATGAGATTACTGCTTATTCCCTCATGAGTGCAGCTCCGGGAGGTGTGTAACGAATGAATACGATGTCTGCTGTCAAAGCTCTGTGGTCAGTCCCGAAACTGAGGTCGAAGGGATTCACATAAAGTTTTAGAAATCTGTCTTAATTGGGATTCCTTTCCTGTCTGGTAAAATTTCATGTATGCTCGTGAGTCTGTGCTTTGATGCTCCCGTGTCCTGTGAGAAGAGGATGTGGCTTTTAATGAGAAGTCCAGATGCCACTGTGATCAGTGGAACAATGAATTCCACATTATGTTGTGGTGAAAATAAAAAAAAATCCCACAAAAAGCTCTTAGTGCCTCCGTCTTTTGTGCTGAATATGTGCGGATTTGAAGTGTTTTCAGGAAGGACGATCTTTATGAGACCTTGAAAGGGTTTGACGGGGTCTCTGTAAGAAAAGCTGCACAGTCACTGATCTGTAGGCTTCCTGCTGACTTCATGTAATGAACTGCGATCACGGATGTCTGAGTTTTGTGACTTCCTCTCTCTTCCCAGGCTTGTGGGATGATAAGACACCCCAAGAGACTGAAAGGAGAATGTTTATGGATGGGTGCTCCTTCAGTGTTTGGGGCAGAAATGTACAGACAGATAACCATGGATGACAAAGGGAACTCTCTTGTGAAATAGTTGGAAACGGTTTTCTCTGAACTTCCATCAACTTCTGCCAAAGGAACAAAACATATATTAGAAATTCCTTTATTTGTGTCCAGTGCAAACCTTTTTTAATTGGATGCGAGACCTCACCATAACACCACACTACAGGCTGAAATGAGTGTCTTTCTCTTGTTTTTGTACGGTATAAATTACTGATGTAAGTTTTACTGATGTAAAAAAAAAATCACTGCCCTTAGGCTTAAAGCATCACCCGTGAGTCTGATTTGGTGTCTCCTGCCAGGTCTCTCCTCTGTTACACCTGGAACCACACCCACAAGTGATGTCATGGGATCTTGGAGTGCACCTGCGTATCTGTGCAACAAGGTTAAAGGTGAACCCATTGGAGGTCAGCAATAAAACAGATTTTCAGGGATTCTTAGTCATCTTTTTTGCTTTTAAGTGAACATTACAAAGTAATATCACGCCATACTCCTACTTCACTTGCAATAGGTATTCTGAATGGGTTTTTTGTGTGTTTTCTTTAGAAAAGCACAGTTGTTTTCATCGTGCGGTGGTCAGAGATGGATGATTAATAGAATCAGTCATCACAAATCTGATGATTTTTTATAGGTCTGCGTAGGATTGAAAAAACATCCAATTTTTAGTAAACTGTTACTGCTCTGCATATGGTGCTACCCAATAAATAAAGCTCATTAACTTAAAAGTTGAATTTATCATGTTAGTGTAACTGAAAACTGTTGTTCTGATTAATAGAAGCAGTAACTTTGGTTAGTTGAGTGTCTGAAGGGGGGACACGATGCTGAGAAGGTCCCAGACCAGAGTCCAGTCTGGGGGCCTTTCTGTGTGATGTTCCCATGGGAACAGCTACTCCAGTTTCCTTTAACAGTCCAAAGTCACGTATGGAGTTAGGTTAACTGGTGATTCTAAGTTGGCTGTAGCTGTAAGTGTGAGTAGTTGTCTGTCTCTTTGTGGTAGACTGGCTATCCAGGGTGCACATCCTGCATCTCGCCCTATGATGGCCGGGATAGGCTCCAGGGCCTCCTGCAACTCAGAATTTGATAAGCGGAAGAACAAGATGGGTGGATCTGTGCATTTCCTTTTAATGTGAAGGTGACTAAAAAGAGATGATTTTTGTTCCAAGTCTCATTTCTTGCACATTGTTTCCTCCACCCTGGGGTGTACTCTCCCTTCAGGGAACAGCACAGTCCTGGTGCACAGCTGGCTTTAGAGGACACCGCTGGAGTCTCTGGTTTGAGGAACAGACGCTTGTCAGTTTTTATTAAACAGCACCTGTAAGAACCAGATTGTGCTTTGAGTCATCACGAAGCATTTTGAGCTAAAAGTTAGAAAAGGTGCCTTAAAAATAAAGCGTGTTTGACTGACTTTGAATGCACTCTGGTGAAGCTGCTGGAGGACAAATGAATAACATGAGGAGTCTTCATGTTTGTACGCACTTTAACGGTGAACATGTCATAAGGGATCTTTTTCTA